GACAGGGGAGAGGGGTTGGATGCCGAACGGCGGCGGTTGCCGAGGCCGTGCGGCGCGTGACGTTGCTGTTGAATGTGGGCCATGGCCACACTCGCCAAGGTGGGATCGCACAAGGGCCTTTCCCAATACAGTAGGTAAGCTCCCAAGCCCTGACCCCTGGTCCAACCAAAGTGGCCCTCACCCGCCGAGGCAGGCGTAGGATTCCCAGGGAGGGACTGAAGGCCAGCTGGGGGCTTCCTCGGGCGTGGGGAGGTTTGCGCCATCGGCCGCTTCCCTCCCCATAGAAACCCCCCCTCCCTCCAACCATCAGACGTGCAGCGGCGAAAGTTGATGCGCGGCCGTGCGAGGGCTGCGGCGATGGCACGCGTTGTTGCTAGCTGCGCGGGGGTTGGCAAGATGAGGAGCAGGGAATAGCTGAAGAGGTTCGGCTCAGAGAGAGAAGTAGGAGGTCCGAGGTCAAGCAAGGAGTGGCGCTAGATGGCGAAGTGGCTGGGCTGCGTGCCCGCTGCTGCGCAGGAGTGGGAGAATGGACGCTTCTGGGCAAGACGAGCGTAAGACGTTGGCGCAGTAGGGTGGCCTCATGGTTGCCGCAGCCGCCTTGGCCAATTCTGAGCAACCAGCGGCGGTTCCTTGCCGCAACCCCAGTACCTCCCCCCCCCAGCACGCAGGTGGTGACGCGAAAGCGTGGAGGAAAGATGAAACTGATCAATACCAATGCTTTGCGTTGGACGCGCTGCAAGAATTGCGTGGGGTGGTGTAGCCAGTGAGGTCGCGGCGGCAGTGATTGTGCACCGCAGCCGCCCTTGCCCGTGTCAGGGCAGCCAGCGGTGAGGTCCTTTTGTCCCGCCCCCCCAAGTACTGATCCACACCATTCGTGCCGCCGCCGCACGAGTGGTGAGGAGTGGGTTAGGTGAGCGAACGGTGGGGGAGGCGGGGCTTAACGGCGGGGGTGGAACCAGAACGAAGTGCAACTTGGGTGACGCCTCGCCCAGAACCTAGTGGTCGTGCTGTCGCCTCCGAGGCCTCAGCACTGAGCTGGTGATTATAAAGCCGCCACCAAGGAGGTGCATGAGAGAGCTCTGTCCACGGGTCTTGGAAGTAGGTTGTTCCACCAATGCGGCCACAAACCGTGTTTTTTTACAGTACGTCGGATGATAAAGCATACGTGGGTGAGAAAGCCACGGCGGGTCTTGGGGAGTGGTGAGGAGTGGGTTAGGTGAACGAACGGTGGGGGAGGCGGGGCTTAACGGCGGAGGTGGAACCAGAACGAAGTGCAATTTGGGTGACGCCTCGCCCAGAACCCAGTGGTCGTGCTGTCGCCTCCGAGGCCTCAGCACTGAGCTGGTGATTATAAAGCCGCCACCAAGGAGGTGCATGAGAGAGCTCTGTCCACGGGTCTTGGAAGTAGGTTGTTCCACCAATGCGGCCACAAACCGTGTTTTTTTACAGTACGTCGGATGATAAAGCATACGTGGGTGAGAAAGCCACGGCGGGTCTTGGGGAGTGGTGAGGAGTGGGTTAGGTGAGCGAACGGTGGGGGAGGCGGGGCTTAGCGGCGGAGGTGGAACCAGAACGAAGTGCAACTTGGGTGACGCCTCGCCCAGAACCTAGTGGTCGTGCTGTCGCCTCCGAGGCCTCAGCACTGAGCTGGTGATTAAAGCCGCCACCAAGGAGGTGCATGAGAGAGCTCTGTCAACGGGTCTTGGAAGTAGGTTGTTCCACCAATGCGGCCACATGCCGTGGTTTTTTGTAAAGTACGTCGGATGATAAGCATACGTGGGTGAGAAAGCCACGGCGGGTCTTGGGGCCTTGTATGACCATGGACCCAGTGCAGAGCATAGCTCATGGTAGCTGTAGCTGCCGTAGATACAAGTGGCACGTCGGATAAGTTGTAAATGAGAGAGCCACGGCAGGTTTTGAAGCCCTGTGTTACCGTGGACCCACTGTCAGATCTTTGCTCTTCCTCCTCCTTCTCCTCCTCTTCCTCCTCCTCCTCCTCCTCATCCTCCTCATCCTCCTCGCTCATCTCCGCAGACGACATCTATACAACACCACCGTGGGCCCCTGCATTGTGTATAGAGCCTCCTGTCTTCTTTTCATCCTCCCCTCCTCGTCCTCGTCCTCCTCGCCCGCTTTCGCTCGCATTACGGCCCCAGCAAATGTGAAACAAAATGCTGCCATGAAGAGTACACACCATGCAGGGCCCAGGATCGCCTTGGCCTGGCGCGGTGGTGGTGAATAGATGTGTTTTGTGTACCATTTTTCCTCGCTCGTCACTTATCCTCCCTCCGCCTTCTCCTCCGTTTACTCCTCCTTTTTCGTCGTTCAGACTACATGCTAAAGCATGTAGCGTTCTTACTCCTCCTCCTGCTCCTCATCATCATCCTCCTCTTCTTCCTCCTCCTCCCTCAAGCACATGGGCGCGGAGCGCAGCAGCACCATTTGTTGGCTCTCGCTGGCTTGCTCCAGCGTCCCGCCCAGTGCCTCCACGTGGCGGTCGAGGGACACGTTCAGCTGTGATTGTCGTTCCTGGCTTTGGTTGGGACCTTCAACCGTGTGAGCGTTGGCAAGATTTGGGCGAATATTTCCTCGGCCTGCCGCGGGCATCTGCTCCGGTTGCCATCAGCTACAAGTCTTGGTTTTGCACGTTTGTGTAAGGACAGTGGCAATCCCGTCTGTCGGTGCGAGGCTCGGCTGAGCGCGGGGCCCGCCTCGGCAAGCATCAGCTACCTATTCGGGCCAGCGCGCGTGAAGAAGGCAGGTCGTGGCAACTGCTTGGCCGTTACAAGGTCCGTCGGCACGTTGTCAGGCTCAGTGGCGCAATGGGCCAGTGCATCAACGCAGGTCGTTTCACCTCGGTCATCAAGTACACTGTTTGGATATGCGCGTGCGCGACAGGTGGACAGTGGCAGCTCTCTCGGCAAGTGCCTGCTCGGTCGGACGAGCAGCTGACACCGAGAACCATCAGCCACCAATTCGAATCACCACGCGTGAGACAGGCAGGCAGTGTCGGGTTTTTTGCCGGTGCACGGCCCGTCGGCGCGTTCTCTAGCACAGCGCCGGAATGGGCCAGTGCATCAATGCAGTTCAGGTCACACCGACCGCCATCAGCTACAATGCTTGGCTCTGCACGTCTGTGGAAGGCGGACGGTGGCAGGTGCGGAAGGTGGCGCGAGGCTCGGTCGTTTGAGAAGTTTGCATCGACAACCACTACCAGTTTTAAAAAGCGCGTATGAGAGTGGCAGGCAGCGGCAGTTTCGGGGCCGCTGCACGGCCCGTCGGCGCGGTCCCAGGTTCAGCGTCGCATCGGATGCGTTTCGAATGCGGCCACTGCTTCGAATGCGGCGATCGGGAAAGCAAGTTTACACCGGCCGTCATCCATTACATTGCTTGTTTCTACACGTGCGAGAAAAGGCGAACAGTGGCAAGTATCTCTGGCGGTGCGGGGCTCGGCTGGACGCGGACGCTTGCACCGACAACCATATGCTACATGTTCGAATCAACATGTGCGAGAAAGGCAGGCAGCGGTAGCTTGCTGGTCGTTGCACGGTCCGTCGGCGCGCTTTCACGTCCAGCGTCGTAATGGACCTGCGCGTCCCAAAATGGCACTGGAGACGGACAGGCAGCGGCCGTTTCTTTTCTTGTCGCGCGGTTCGGGGCTGGAAGCTGAGGTAGCACGTCAATCGTCAGATGCAGCGCTTGGAATTGGCGTGATAGCGGCCGGCGGCAGTTATCCTCTGAGGAGGGTGCTCGGTCAAGGCTGGCCAAGCTTTCAGTGTATACTTCAAACGGCTTGCACAGTTCATTCATTGACGTCCGCGGGATGCGTTATTTCTTGTTGTTTGGTTGGGATGGCTTTCGTTGCAAATCTGCATGGGCCTTGCGCGCCCCGCGAATGCTTCAGCTGGAGTGCTCAGCATCGACGGTTTGGCATATTTTCTCTTGCAATTGAAGCGCGATAGCGACGTTCCTTAATTCATGGCGCGGGGCTACCCACATCTGCGCGGCCGGTGGAAAGGAGTGACGTTTCAGTTTCAGCTTGTCTCTGGTTTAGGGTACTCGCACGAGGTATCAGATGCGTTCCTCGTGCTTCCTGGTCCTGCGATTCAGTTCCCCGGTGGTGGCGTCCGCCTGCTGGTTCGCCTTTTTCGTCGGCAAGCTCAGGGGGCGGCGCGCAGCTGTTCTAGAACGGACACCGTCTGGTTGCTATCCTATCCCATGCTCCTCCCCCTCCTCCTCGTCCTCCTCCTCCTCCCCACCCTCCTCCTCCTCCCCCCCCCCCCATCGCCCCCCTCGCCCTCCCCCCCCCCCTCTCAATCCATTTCGGCCTGCTGCGCGGCCTGCTGCGCGGCCCGCCGCGCGCGCGGGGCCGAGGCGGCGCGGCGCGAACCGTCGGCGGCGGCGGGCGCCGGGGCGCCCGCGGCACGCCGGCCCGCGGCTTGGGGCGGTCAGATCGAGCCGCCGCCGAAGTCCGCGCCTGCGAATTTCAAGGGCTCCCACGAGGGCGCGAAGTTATTCGCGCTTCGCGGTCCTCGTTCCTTCTCCCCCCTCCTCCTCGTCCTCCTTTTCTCCCTTTGGGGGGGCGGCGCGAGAGCGCGAAGTTATTCGCGCTTCGCGCTTCGCGGAGCGCGAAGCGCGAAGTTGGGAGCCCTTGGAATTTCCGCGCGGCCAGAGGCCGCGGCCGGAAGGAGGAAGAGGCGCGGCCGCCGCCGCGGAGGGGGGCATCCCGCTCGGCCGGCCGCGGGCCCAGACCTCCGAACACCAGGAGCGAGAAGGCCACGCCTCAAGAACGCGCCAAGACGGCGCAAGAGAGCCCCACAGGGCCCCCAGGACGGTCCCAAGGCAGCCCCAAGACGGCCGAAAACGACCCCAGAGATGTCAAGACGGCCCACGAAGCTCCGAAAGATACCCCAGGAGAGCCCCAGGAGGGACACAAGAGGGCGGCGCGCCCGACATGCCCGATGGGCAGCGGCAACTGGGCCCACTGCAATCGCGCCGGCATGCTTGCTGGGACAAACTGCAGAACGAGTGGACACGAGCGGAAGCCAGCCACGCTCAATGACAGCGTTGAAAGCGACAAGCAGAACACAACCAACAGCGTCATGGTCGACCTTCTCACGCAGCAGCACTTGCAGGCGAAAGAGAACGGCGACCAGATCAGGATGGATATAGATCGCAGCCGCATGCCCAGAGGCCCCCCCTCCAGCACCAGCTGAACCGGTGGCACTCTCCACAGGACAGAGGCTCCAGCAGGCAGTCGCCGACATCAACAGAGCGCAGAAGTTCCAAGACAAGTTGGCCAAGCAGCTGCCGCGCGCCACCGGGCACCGAGACGACGTGCTCCGCAAGATCAGCGACAACACGGTAGAGCTTGCAGAGGCTAAAAGAGTCTTCAACGACGCCTAGGCTTAAGTCGGCGAGCCAACAGACCTAGCAGGCCAGACTCACGCCAACATCCAGAAACCAGGGGATGATGACGAGTTCCCAACGCTCACGCCAGAGGAAGTCGAGTTCTCGGATCCCACGCAGAAGCAAGAGTGCGAAGCCACGCAGGCCGAGCACCAGAGGGCACGCAGTGTCATCGCCGAGAGGAAGGAGGCAGTCCTGAATGCCAAGAAGGCGCTCGAGGGCGCACAGAAGATCCGCGCGACCGCACAGGCGGCCAAGAAGCGCGAAGGGCAGGCAGGAGCCCAGCCAGCAGCAGGAGCCCCAGCAGCAGACCAAGAACGAGACGAAGCGGCTGCCAGCGCAGCGCCCCGACCTGCGGACCCAGAGATCGCATTGGCCGACCAGGTCAACCGTTCCGGCCCCGATCACACCTAGAACATCCCCACGCAGCTCGCGAAGGTCAAGGCCCGCACGACGGCAACGACGGGCCACCTGGAGCGGCAACTGGATCAGCCACAGGGGCATCAACGACAGCAGTGGCGCCAGCACAACAGACTCCAACTGGGCGGCGTCGACACCTGGAGGGAAGACATCCACAACCAGGCGTGCATTACACGGCTGGCTCAGAAGGGGAATGAGCCAAGTCAGTCCGTTGACGCAGACAAATCCCGACTCGCGGCAGCCTTTTGTCCAGGAATTTATAGGCGCGCAATGTTTCGGCTGGTCTGTCTGGTTCGATGACAACGCCCCCATCATTGAGCCGAAGGGCCCCACTCGCGACGGGGGATTGGAGGCCCGAGTGGCCGCTTGACGTTTCACTGTTGTCCGAGACCCATCGGGACCTAGGGGGGAACTCATTGGACGGCTCTCGTCGCAGGATCCCGATTCAGTCAGCGCGTTTTTCGGAGGCTCTGGCATCAGCGGGCTGGCTTCGGAATTTGGGCCGAGGCATGAATGCGTTCCGCGTCTTTAGAGCGGGCGCCGCAGCCAAAGCTTGCTGGGGAGCGCCCGTCTTGGGGGTCAGCAGCTCGGCTTTGCGAGGGCTCCGCGTTGCAGCAGCTCGTATTCATGGGCCGCTCCAGCCTGGCTCATCTCTCGGTTTCTCGCTGCTCTTCAGCTCGTCGTGGACGAGCGATCCTCTTGTGCATCCCACCGCTGCCGCGGTAAAAACCTTTGCATCGGTCTGGTGGCACCGGTCCGTCGCCCGGCCCGCGTTCGCCTCCGCGGCGGAAGGCGCCCGCGAGATTCTCGGAACAAAGAGGCCATGGAGTGCGGTGAAGCAGCCAATCGCCGCCCTGATCCTGACCTTGAGTAGGATAGGACGGGACCGAGACCTTGATCGAGACAGCCTGGTGGACCACCGTGGAGTGGCTTGGTCCTTGGCTCGTTTCTCGCCTGAGTTTTTCGCCATGCTTTGTCAGCGGGCGTGCTGGGATGCGACTGTGGCCGAGGAGCAGAGTCGTCGGTCGGCGTTCGTGGGTGAATGGTGTGGCCCGATCTGCTCCCGCCCTGCGCGGAACCTTCTGGTTGCCAAGGCGTCTGAGGGCTGGACGACTCACCACCAGCGCGTGCTCAGAGGGCCGCTGGCGAACAGGTATTGGTGCCAGCAGCGTTTCGCCGAGAAGTGCGAAGATATCCGCCCTGAATGCATCCGCTGTGGGGAGCCTGGGTCCTTGTTTCATCGCCGGTTTGCCTGCCCCGCTCACTCGGCCTGGAGGAGAGAAGAGCTTTCGCGCGAAGTCCGTGAGGCGGCACGGTTCGTGTCTTGTCTTTCGGGTCGGGCCCAGGAGTTGTTCTCCAGGGCGGTTTTCCCTGACCCCGTGGCCTGGTTCGGGCATAATGCCCCCGACCCCACCTCTTGTTACATGCATCGCTTTAATTGGCCAGCCGATGGACTGACGATCGGTGCGGGCAGGCATGTTTTCACCGACGGCTCGGCCTTCGAAGGCCATCTGCCGTCCCTTGGGGTGGCGGGATGGGCGGTCGTGGTTACGGACGGGGAGGGGGTCGTCCAGTCGTACGTCTGGGAGGGGTAGTGCCATTTTCGGAGGCACCCCTCCAGGCTGCGAGAGACGGCGAGGACTTCGCCATCCTCCAGCTGGTGCTCAATGCTGTGCTGTGCCCAGGCTCCAGCCTGCACATTGATTGTGCGGGCACAGTGGATTGCGCTAGGGATCCGAGGTCGGCCGCAGGGCTGGACAGCATGAGGGCGTACTGGTGGGCACAGGTGCATGACAAACTCGATGATTGCCGCGTTTTTCAGGTTTCTTCCCATTGCACAGAGAGGGACGTGATCGATGGCCGCCTGACGCGTGTTCAGTGGCTGGGCAACCGTGCGGTTGACTTATATGCGCGCCAGGGGGCAGAGATGTATCGCAGTGATTATTGCGATCGTCTTGTCATCATCGGATGTCATGAGATTGCACGGCCTGTCTCTCGGCATTCGGCGCGTCAGGAGGCGATGATTGCTGATGCCGCCGTCTTCGACCATGTCTCACTCGATTGGCTGCGCCACGTCGATCTCGGCCGTATTCAGGCTCCAGCCGACACCGATGACGGAGGATTGGGCGGCTGGGGTCGTCGAGCCGGGGTCGTCCGTCGTGGGAGGGGAGCGCGCGGAAGTTGGCGGCGAAGCGAGGGATGAAGGCGAGGCGCTGCCCTCCCCCGCTCCCCCGCCGCCGCTTGGGGAAGAGGCCTGGGCCCTCCTCAGGCCCTGGAAGGCCCGTGGCCATTCGTGCATCGAGGCTCCCATGTCCTCCCCAGGTGGAGCTCCTATGGGTACGTTGGTGTTTCGCACCACCTGTGGATCTGTGGGCCATCCTGGAAGTCCCGGGGGACGGAGCTCTCTCGTGTCGGATTGCTCGGGGTCCCGTTCCGCTGGCCGGGAGAGGCAATTGGCTTGGATTTTGCTTGGTAAGCATCCGTCCCGCAAGGACGGTCGCGTCGGAGCGGCGATTTCGCTCAGACGCCTCGCGCACCTTCTTGGCATCGAAGCTAGGCCTCGAAGATGTGCCAGCTCTTGGACCCGGCCCAGTTGTTGAGCAAGTCGGCGTCTACCTCGTCCGAGGCTTTGCGCTTGTTGGCTTCTCCTCTCGCGCCCAAGCTGACGTGTTAGGGCAGCGAGTCCTTGACAGGAGAGAGCGCGAGGCGGCGGATTTTTTGGACGAAGGCTAACTTGTTTGTTTTTGTTGCGATGCATGTTTAATGCGATGACTTCGTTAGTCGGTGTGGTGCTTCTCCTCCTCCTCCTCCTTCTCCTCCTCCTCCAACTCCTCCTCCTCCTCCTCCTCCTCCTCCTCCTCCTCCTCCCCTCTCCTCCTCCCTCCTCCTCCTCCCTCCTCCTCCTCTCCTCCTCCTCCTCTCCTTCCGTTTTTCTCCGTTCATCCCTCCTACTCCTCTTCCTCCTCCTCCTCCTCATCTCCCTCCTTTTCTTCCTCCCCCCTCTTCCTCTTCCCTCCTCCTCCTCCTCTTCTCTCCTCCTCCTCCTCCTCCTCCTCCTTCCCTCCCTCCCTGCCTCCCTCCCTCCCTCCCTCCCTCCCTCCATCCCCATTCCCTCCCTCCCTCCCTATTCCCTCCCTCCCTCCCTCCCTCCTTCCCTCCCTCCTCGAATCGCGCCGCCGCCGAGGCGACAAAACACCACCCAGAGGCTCGGGGACGAGTTTCCAGACGAGGACGCGCCTTTCGGGGGGACGACGCAGCGGAGTCCGGGAGGACGATGGAGGCGGGAGAGCCAGGAGAAGGTCGAGGGAGTCAAGGAGGAGGGCTGGTCTCGAGGAGCAGCGGAGGGTGGGAGCCCGGACTCCGAGTAGCGGGCTCGTTGCGCATCCGTGGCTTTGTTTTTTTATTGTGGCCTGTGCTTGCACGAACGCCTGGCTGTGCTTGTACACAGTTGCCTTCGGCCTGTCCCGCCACCGCGCCTGCGTTGTAGATCAGCGACGTGTTGGACGCATGTGGGTATTTGATTCGGTCTTGTTCGGAAGCATGTGGTAGGCGGTTTGGGGATGCTGTGGGGCCTCTTTGGGGTCTCTTGTGGGTCTTTTGAGGCTGGTTGGGGAACTCTTAGGTCTTAGGGGCATGCTGGCGGTAGGGCACGCGGAAGAGGAAGAGCAAGGACGTGGAACAGATAAAGGCAGGAGACAAGTTAGGTGCACGCCCGCGCCATATGTGGCATCATAACCATCCCACCCATCCCTTCCCGTTGCGGTGTTGTTGTTGAGTGGTGTTGCTGGTGGTGGTGTTGTTGTTGGTGGTGTTGTCGATGTCGTCGGTGGTGTTGCTGTTGCTGTTGTTGATGTTGTTGTTGGTGTTGTTACTGTTGTTGTTGTTGCTGTTGCTGCTGCTGTTGTTGTTGTTGGTGTTGTTGGTGGTGGTGTTGTTGTTGGTGGTGGTGTTGTTGCTGTTGGTGTTATTGGTGGTGTTGGTGGTGGTGGTGTGCTGTTGTTGTTGTTGAATTATCATTTTTGAAGGATAAGTATTGTTGATCCCCCCTCCGGTGCACATTGCATGTTTCAATTGAAGTGCCCCTCCTGGCGCTCGCACCTTGTTTTTCTGCAGGGAAAAACCTCGTCCTCAAACTGTGTTGTTGGCTCCCGGGTTACAACAACAACGGCTCCCGCCTGAGACTTCCTCACAATTTAACCAGGACCCCCGCACCTGCCTGAGACTTCCTCGTATTTTACTCAGGAATCGCGCTCTCGCTTGCGATTTCCTTACAATTTGTTCAGGAATCGCTTTCTCGGCGCCATGGAGTCGCGCTCTCGCTGGATCAAGAATAGCGCCCTTGCGTTGGAATTTCCCGCAATTTACTCAAGCGCCGCGCTCCCGGCACTCAGGCACCCAGGAGTCGCGCTCACGCTTAGGACTCCCTCACAGATTATTTAAGAATCGGGACATCGCTGCCCTTCGTGGACCCATTGCAGCCCTTCGTGGCCCCCTCGCTGCCCTTCGTGGACCCGTTGCAGCCCTTCGTGGCCCTCTCGCTGCCCTTCGTG